AATACCAATTAGAATTTGAGCAACAGGTACAGTGTAACTGCTTTCTTCCATTTTTTTCCCCCTAGGGATTTCCACATATAAGATCTCAGTTAATATTTACACTAAGACTGGCTGAAACAGGCAATGCTAGACTTTGAACTTAGGTATGATTTCAAAATAGTCTAAGCTTTAAGATATTACAGTTATCTTCCTACTGTTTACAATAATGGAAATACTAGGAAGGACATAATACCCACTATAGGGAGTAGAGTTTAATTAAATAATCCATAAAATACAACATTATAGCTGGGTGGTGGGGGTGCACGCCTCTGGGAGGTGGAGGCAGGAGGATATCAGAATTCAAGACTAGTTTGGTCTACAAAGTGAGTTCCAGGACAGCCAGGCTGCACAGAGAAACTCTGTCTTGAAAAACCTAAAAAAAGAAAGGAAGAAAGGAAGGAAGGATGAAAGAAAGAAAAAGAAAGAGAAAAAGGTACAATATTATGCAGGAAAAATATAAGAGTGTACAAATAAAAGAATGTATTCAGCCAGATATGGCAATACATGCCCCTTATCCTAGCTCTTGGAGGCAGAGGCAGGTGGTTCTCTATGTTCATGTTCAGGCCAGCTAGAGTTACGTAGTGAGACCCTACATTAAAAATAATAAAAAATCTATTCACTTTATACTAAATGAAAAACAAAAATGCAGGCAGTATACAATAATATTGCTTTGTAAATATATATATATATATATATATTAAACAAAATATGGTGGCTCATGCAATTGGAAGTCTGAGGCATGAGGATTACCCATGAGTTTGAGGCCAGCCTGGGCTACAGAGTGAAAACCCAATGCAAACAACAGCAATATATATTTATACACACAGAAAAAGATTGGACCAATTCAGTGTATGGTTATATTAACATTGACCATTACCACTGGATGGGATTAGTAGGCAATGCTTTTGTCCTTTTTCCATAAATTGTGGATTTCATTGTTTCACTTTCATTTTCTGAGACATTGTCTTATTAGCTCAGACTAGTTTTGAACTCTTTATATAACTGAGGATGATCTTGAACTTCTGATTCCCCTGCCTGCGCCTTCCTAGTCCTGGGGTCACAAGCATGTACTGCCACTGTTTGTTTTTGTAGCACTGAGATGGAGCTGAGGGCTTCATGTATTCTAGGTAAACACTGTACCATCTGAGCTACATCTCCAGCCCTGATTTCTTTTTATTTTTATTTACTTATTTATTTTTTTGGTTTTTCAAGACAGGGTTTCTCTGTAGCTTTGGAGCCTGTCCTGGAACTAGCTCTTGTAGATCAGGCTGGCCTCGAACTCATAGAGATCTGCCTGCTTCTGCTTCCCAAGTGCTGGGACTAAAGGTGTGCGCCACCACCGCCCAGCCAGCCCTGATTTCATTATGCTTACCTAGAGTACGCATAAAGTTCTGAGTTCAATTTTTGGTACCATAAGAAAAAAATTGTACCACACATAGATGTATATATGAGACAGAAAATGAATTAGTGACTGGGAATAGGAATGGAGACACAAGGAATTTACGAGAACCCACAAAAATATTTCAAGTATTCAGAAGCTGATTTATGTTAAGCCAGTAGCTGTGACTCATACCTGTAATTTCAGCATTTGGGAGCCTGAGACAGGAGTATCTTTAGGTCAAGGTCAGCCTGGTTTGTATAATGAGACTTTGTCTTAAATGATGAAATCGAACCAAAATAAAAAACAACTACCCCCAAGTCACCCTTAAAGTAATAATAAAGAATTATGGTTGAAATGCGTGTTTTTATGATGTGTAGATATTATTTAAAAATGTTAAAGAATTACATATGTGTTTGTATTCTTAAAAGTTTAAAGCAGGGGGCTAGAGAGATGCTCAGTGCTTAAGATCAGGTGCTGCTCTTGCAGAGGACCTGATCTTGGTTTCCAGCAACCACATCGGGTGGCTCACAGCTGCTTGTAAATCCAGCTCCAAAGGATCTGACACTTCTGGTCTCTATGGGCACCTCCACTCATGTGTAAATATCTGAACATAGTCATATACTTAAACATAATTTAAAAATGTATACTTAAAATTTCCAAGCAATGTGGAAGTAAAGTCCTCTGCTCTTATATCATATTCTATTTTCTAAGCAAAACCAGGGATGAATGATGTTTAATAAATTTTTGATGTTTTATGCAAATCTAAAAAACAGATTATAAATACAAGAGCTGTTTGTAATTTTCTTTTTCTTCATTTCCTTAGAAAACACAAAACCAAATCAACGAAAGAAGAGCAAGAATAAGAACAACAGCAAAGACCCAGTTCTTATGTCTTCAGTCTCTTGACCTTGCTCTATACCTAAGGATGACATTGGAATCTGATTCTCTGCCTCTGCTTGTCATTTGCTAGGACTCCAGTGCAAGCAGCTAGGCAAGCACTCTACAGTGAGCCATACTTCACCCCCGTTATCTTTGGTTTCTTAAGAGGAGTTTCATACAGTCCAGTATGGCTGACAGCTCTCTGTAGCAGAGTCTATCTTTGCGTTTCTGATCCTTCTTTACTGGCCTTCGGAATGTCAGGATCATAGTGGGTAGCACCACACCTGGCTACAATGTAAGACATGACAGAATTTTCTCTGCAAGTATTGATGTAGTAAAGTCAGGGAAAGAGGTTAATGTCTTTTACATGTGAACTTTCATGCTCTCCTTACCTTTGTATCATTTGCTTGTTTTTCAAAGCTATTTATTTATTTATTTATTTACTTTGGTTTTAGAGGCAGGTGTTCTCTGTCTAACAGCTCTGGCTGTCCAGTTCTGGCTTTCCTGGAACTAACTCCTGCCTCTGCCTTCTGAGGACTGAGATTATAGGCATGTGCCACCACTGCCCTGCTTGCTTTGTTTTCTACATTTTTATTTTTTATTTTTGTGATGTCATGTATGACTGTAGGCACATGTGTCACGGCACTTCTGTGGCAGTAGGTTAGAGGATAACTTGTGAGATCTTTCCTTATACCATGTGGATTCTGGGATTTAACTCAGGTTTGTCAGGCTGGGCAGCAAACATTTCTACCTGCTGAGCCATCTCACCAACTCTCATTTATCCATTTTTTATGAATGTTTGAAGTTAAGCCCAACAAAAATAAAAATAAGTGATACTATCAAATCCTTTCTTAATGCCATGTTCTCTTCCTATTTTTTTAAAAAAGTAATACAATTTCTAAGTTTTGTATTTCTGAGGGCTGAATACCTTAAATGCAATCTCATCGACTTTCTGTAACAGCGCTCCTAGGTATGCAAAATTATGTGTGATTTGACACATAAAACCTAGATTTGCCAAGGTCACATAGCTAGTGTGTAGTGAACCTGGATCTTTACACTGCAGCATCTCTTCTCCCTTGGCAGACTTCCTTTTATACTGCAAACCCCAGCTTTAATGATCTCAGCTTCTGTGCATGTGGTCTTCCCCAACTCACTCAGGCAGAGGGATTCTTCAAGGTGCTTACAATCCAGGGAAGAGACTAAGCTACAGTTCAGTGACAAACCAATGCACTGTTGAACAGGGTGATGTGCAAGCAGGAAAGTCAACGAGCTCCAGAGAGGGTGTTTTGAGCTGATAGAAGGTGCCAATCAGACATAGTGATCTGGGGCCTTGCACTGACTTCAGATGCTCAGAGGTGTTACAGACCTAGGCATACTTTGAAAAGGACAGTTTTGTAGTTACCTAAGGATCAAGTTGACCTGAAGGAGGGGCAAAAGTAAGTTTGTACGTCCCGGAGTTGAAGGCCATACTGTCAAAACTTTTCAACTAAGTATTAACACATTTTGTGAACAAAGCACAGAGGTTACATTTTTTTGGTGGTGTTGTGGATGCCACCTTGGATCCTGTCCATGTCTGGCAAGCGCGTCCAATCACTGAGCATCATTCCCAGTCCAGAGCTGTTAATAATCGTGTCTAGTACTGTAACAAGATGAGAAGAGTACCACCAGCGGGACTGGTGTGGGAAGTCAGTCCCCCACTTCTTGCATTAAATGGTCAGGGTCCTTGCCGAAATTTGTTTAGGTTCATTCTCCAGGGTATTCTAGCTCACTGCACCATACAGGGCACACAGCACATACATAGTAGGAGCTGATCTGGCTGGCAGAATGCTAGCCACCAAGAAGATGCCAGCCAATAGTTGTCTGTATTCATTACCACTGCTGGACCAAAGCTGGTAGGGTTTTAGCCAGTCTGCCACGACCCTAAGTAGGGAACAGATTTCCCAGGCCGTTACAGGGTAGAGAAAGGTGAGGAGATTTTGATTTCTGTTCAGTGCTTGCTATGTGCCAGGAAAATTCCTATCTATTGTTGTATGCCATCTGCTCAACGAATCTTATCCAGAATTTACTGTTTTAGTTTCTGTGAAGTGGAAACTGAGGCTCAGAATGGTTCTGTAACTTAGCCAAGGTCATACGCCCGGCAAGTGGGAGAGGAGTTCAGTACGGATTGGAGTCTTTTACTCAGCCAGGGTACAGTCTGACCCTCCTCCACCTGGGGAGGCATTTTGCGGCGCTTACTCTATTTGCCTAGAAGCTGAGGTTGAGGAAGCATCCAGCACCGGGGCGTGGAGCCTGAGAAGGCCAGCTCGCTATTGCGTCCGGGAGCGGTTCTCGGATTCCGCAGTTACGGAGTTTCCGCGCCTTTCGCTCTTTCACGCAGCTGGTCTCCGCTCAGCAGTGCTTACGTCGTGGGCGCAGAGGGGATCAGGTGCGGCCGCTGCACGAGCCGGGCGCCGCGAGGTGGGCGGGACGCAGTTTACGTAAGCGGTCTCGCAGGTGCAGGCGGCGGCCGCGGGCCTGAGCGCCTTTGCGCGTTCCCAGGTGCGCAGTTGGCGCAGGCGGCGGCGGGCGCTGGCCGGAGCTCTCAGGTGCGGCAGAGCGCGCGTGCAGGGGGCGCGCGGAGGGCGAGGGGGCGGGCTTTCCGTTCCCCAGCAGCCACGGGCCCGCCCCCCAGATCGGCCAATGGGCGTGCTCGGCGTCGTTACGTGTTCGCTGCCGCCAAGGCCGCCGCTGCAGCCGAAGTCGATCTCGGATCCGCGAGCGCCACCAGGGCAGCAGCCGCCGCAGCCGCCGCCGCTGAGCTGAGGAGCCGGAGACGCGGGCGGACGAGGTGGCGGCGGCGGCGGAGCGGGAGAGGGGAACGGACGCGGGTGGAGCGCGGCGGCGCGGGTAGGCTGCGACGGGGCCGGCGCCTGCGCGGCGGGCCGTCCCGGGCGGGCGGCGGTTGAGGCGGCGGTTGAGGCGGCGGTTGGCGGAGCCGGCCCGGGCCCCGCATTGTTTGTTGTGCGTCCTTAGCAGCCGCGGTGGCTGCTGAGGCGAGGAGCGCGGCGCAATCCCGGCCCTGCGGCTTGGGCTTTGTGGCCGCCACTGTCTTTCCTGGCCGGTCCGTGCCAGGACTGCGGGCCGCCCTGCTTGCTTTCGGGGTCGGGGTCGCGAGTCCCGGCCCTCAGCCTCCGGAGGGCGTGGGCAGCGCGCGGGGCGCGAGCTCGGGGAAGGTGGGAGGGCTCCGGGCAGGTGCTGGAGGACGTTGCGGGCAGGAACCGAGGAGAGGCTGGGGGGCGGGCACAGGGTGTGTGCAGGTTTAGGGAGCAGAGAGGGTTGAGGGACCCGGCTCCGTGGTGTCCAGGGCCTCAAGGGCAGGCCTGGGGGACCCTATGGGGGCATAGGTTGGATTTGAGAGGGAAGGAGGACGTTCCGTTTGGGGGTTCAGATGTGTGTGGAGGGAGATTCGGGGCGGCAGGGGCAAGTGAAATAGTGGAGGGAGGTAGACGATAGGCACCTCTAGGTAGGAATAAAAGGAACAGATGTCCCGGTTAGCGCTGCGCGTGAGGGGCAGGGAACCAGGCTGAGAGTAGGAAGGCCACCGGACAGCCTGAAGGGAAATGGCGGAGGAGGGGGCCATAGCAGGGAGTGTGGCGGACAAGGAGTGTCTGGGGAGGGGGTTCTCTCAAGTAGTGGCGGATGAAAATGAGGATATTCAGGTAGGAGGTGTGTGTGTCTCTGTCTGTTTGTCTGTGTCTCTCTCTTTGCCTGCCTGTCTACAGTCTGTGTGTGCCCATGGCTCCCTTGATGGATGTCTGGCCCAGAGGAATGGAGGGATGCGGGAAGGAGTTGACAAGCTAGGGGAAAAAGGCAGGTGTTTGTCCTGTACTCAGGGGAGAGGAGGATATGCTCAATGAGGGGCGGGGTGATTGGCGTAGAGACTGAATTTGAGGGGTTTTGGAGAGAAATGGGGGCAAGGAGTTTAGGTGATCGGATGGAAAGTGGTGTCCAGGCAGGTGTGTGTAGCAGTAAAAAGGCAGCAGAAGTGAGTGAAATGGAGGGTGTTTGTGTGAGAAATACTGGTGGGCAACAGCAGAAGAGGAACCTTGAGGTTGGGGGCACCGTCAGAAGGGACAGGTGTGTGTGGCAGGATGGAGAGCTGTTGTAGGTAGAAGGGAAGCAGGGGGATGTTTATGGAGTGGTAGGTGAGGTATAGGGACATATGGAAGGAATTATTCGCAGGGCAGGAGGTGTGGAGAGAAGTTGGGGAGGAGGAAGATGGAAGGGGGTGTGTTTGAAGGGAAATCAGAAGGTGGGGGTAGGTTTGGAGTACCATGTAGTGGGAAAAGGGAAGGGACTAGGCAGAAGATAGTGAGAAGAAAGGGGAAGAAAGAATAGAGACTGTATACCGAAGGAAAGGATGCATGGTAGAAATATGTAGATGCATGTCTGACTAGTGAGGGACAGCTGTAGGGATTGATGTGTTGAGGGAAGTAGGAGGCCCATGTTTAAGGCAGAAAACAAATGTTAGCATTCAGAAATGGCTTACCTAAGAGTTTGGAAGATTTCAGTTGAAGTGTGAGAAAAGGTTGGAGTATTTACAGTTTTAAGACATTAGAGGGTCCAAAATTATTAGGTCACTGAGATTAATAAAGGGTGGAGTGCAGAAGTTGAATGGGAGGAAAAAAATTGAGAGGATTACTTTGAGGCTTAGAGGGACTAGACATTTGGGACAATGGACAGAGGATGTGGATCCTAGACTGATATTAACAAAAAAAGAGGACATTCAATTTTGTACCATATCTTAAAGTTCATTCTTTTGGGATCACAAAGATGATGAAACCTGAATTTTAGTTCCAGAACAGTAAATGGAAAAGAGTAAGGGAGAGCTGAGTGCCTGCTCTCAAGTTGAGAGATATGTGGTGTGTATTCGCTTTGTTGACTTGTGAGTAGACAGATAGCAAGCATCATGAGGAATACACCCAGGAATGTAAAAGAAGAGGGAGAGCAGCGGGTACATGGCAAATGTCTTTGAGAAGGTGCAAGAGAGCAGATCCCAGAGGCTGGTAGCATCAAGAACACTGAGAGAGGAAGGAATACCTTGGTATTCAGTGTCACAGGTACCCAGATGCTTCCTGGGTAGTGGAACAGTGTTCACATATTGGATGATGTAATACCTGAGTCTCATACGACAGGCTAACAAAAGTAATGTTTTTAAAAGTGGCATAAATGAAACCTTTGGATTCTTACCTTTAAAATGTTAATAACTGATGTTGGATTGTCAGCTTCCCCCCCCCCCCCCCCAGGTAAAGTAAACTTTAGCTTGAGGCTTTTGATTCTTGGTTTTTTGGTTTGCTTTGATGGTATATGTGATGTTAGTTTTAATGAGGAGTTGGGTGTATATAAGGCCACCATCGCCTTGCCAGACACATAGGAATTAACCTTTAGGAGTTTGAGCACAGACATTTCAGTGTCTTGTCACTTTTAGTGTTCTGTAGTTTGTGTTAGAAGTTGTGTGTGTGTGTGTGTGTGAGAGAGAGAGAGACAGATAGAGACAGAGAGACAGAGACAGATTTGAAGAATTAAGAAACTGCTTTGAGACTGTTTCACAGTAAGCATTGTTTTCTAGAATCATGGAAAGTGAATTCTCTTTTGACAGTTGAAATTTTTGTCTTGCCAGATTTTTCTAAAAAGTAGATTTTATCTTGTTATAGAAGTAACTTGAATTACTATTCTATGCCCTTCATATAGTATCATACTGCTATGATTCAAAGAAAAGGTCTGCTTTGGATACTTAGGGACTTTTTGGGTTGATTGGTTTTCTTTTGTCAACTTGGGAAGTGTCTTCATGTAGGCATTGTACTTTCAAGACACCAGTTTGAGTGAGAATCTTGCCTAGACATAGCAAGGCAGGAGTAGAGCACCAATTTTTTAAGTAGTTTGAATCTAATTATAAATAGTTAAAAAATTAATGATTTTTAAAATCCATATTTGCAGTGTTTATGCAAGGAGTAAAAAGTAATGTTCAGAATGCATTGTTTATTTTGGAGGGAAATGTATTTTAGTATACTTTTGATCAAAACCCTTGGAGTTTGTTGAGATTTATTGTGTGTATAGAATATAAGGTGCGTATATGCCCCTCCATTGCTCCTTGGCAGGGAATTTGAAAAGTAGGCTATGAGATGACTAGAGTAACCTTTGAAAATTATCTCTTAATATGTTCACTGCTTCTTCCATTAGTTCCCCTCCCCTCTTATTTTTCTTCTTTTTTTTTTTTTTGTTTTGTTTTTCGAGACAGGGTTTCTCTGTGGTTTTGGAGCCTATCCTGGAACTAGCTCTTGTAGACCAGGCTGGTCTCGAACTCACAGAGATCTGCCTGCCTCTGCCTCCCGAGTGCTGGGATTAAAGGCATGCTCCACCACTGCCCGGCTCCCCTCTTATTTTTGAGATAGTGATTCACTCTGTTTGTAGCCCAGGATACTTATAGAAATTCCTGTGTAACCCAGGCTGGCTTCAAACGCAAGAAACACCCTTCTGCCTGCTGGGTTACAGACATAAGCCAGTACACCTGCACCACTTGAATAAGTTTTAGGTCCATCCTGTTCATTTTATTAGTTTTTAGGCAAGCTTTTAGGCAAGCAATATTTTCTTGAATAAAATACTCAATTCTGAAATAGTGTTTTATTGAAATGTATTATTGGGTGAAATTCTACAGCTTGTTGATAATTTATAGGTACTTTAAAGAAAGGTAGGTTATTTAGACTTTGCAAGCTAAATAATTGAATTCTGGTTTTATCTTCACTGATGACTTGCTGTACAAGACACTTAATCCCTTTGTGCTTTTGTTTCTCTTCCAGAAACCTGACTCCTTATCTACCTTCCAAGAGGGTTGAGATACTTATATTGAAACAAGTTTGTCCTTTTTTTTTTTTTTTTCTTTAAAACTCACTTTGTAGCCCTGGCTGTCTTTGAATACAATATATAGACCTGGCCTCTATTTCATAGGGATCCATCTGTCTTTGCTTCCTGAATACTTGGAAATAAGTCACATAAAAGTAAGTCTTTTAGGAAGATGAGACTTTTGTTTATGTGGAGATAGGTTTCTTTATTCCTTTTATCCCTTTGGTTTTTAGATTGGTCAAATATTAGGGCAGCCAGAGCCATGTAGAGAGACCTTGTCTCAGAGAGAGATATTTTGCTGTTAGATAAGTTTGTTGTGAGAAACTTGGAGGTGAGAATTCTGTGCATATCAGATATCTCTTAATTCATTTTGTCATTGTTGCTTTACTGTGTACTTACTTCTATTACCTCTCCAATTGATTATCTGCTTATTTCTGTCACAGCTGAAGCTTGTGCAGACATTGAGTTCTAGCGTAAGCCCAAGATTATTTCTAAACGTGATTTCTATAAACAGTACTTCTTCAATCAGGAGAAATACATATATGCTTTCATATGTTTTTTGCAGAAATTGATTCTCAGTGTTCAGAACAGAAAAATAGAGCTATTGCTTCTGCAAGTGCCATAAAACTTACTGAGGTTTTTCTTTTTTGAGACCCATTGTCTATGTAGCCCTGGCTGTTGTGGAACTTGCTCTGTTTACCAAATTGGCCTTGATCTCAGAAATTTACTTGCCTCTGCCTCCTGAGTTCTGTGATCAAAGATGTGCACTACCACACCCAGCTTTAGAGCTTTTTTCTTTTTTTTTTTTTTTTGAGACAGGGTTTCCAAGTAGTTATGGAGGAATGCACTCTCTAGACCATCCGCCTGCCTCTGCTTCCCGAGTGCTGGGATAAAAGGTGTGTGCCACCACTGCCCAATCAGAGCTTTTCCTTTTTAAAAAATATTTCTTTATTATTTTTAATTGTGTGTGTGTGTGTGTGTGTGTGTATGTGTGTTTGTATCTGTCT